AAACACAGAAATTTGGGAAACCTACATACTTTGTCTATATATTACGTTCACAAAGTACTTATGATTATGGATAGAAAAAGGCCGCGCGTGCAGTGAAGTGTATGTAATTCTTTTCGTAAATAACGTCAATATAGTGTACATTTGTTCTTTTATTTTTGTGATTTTTTACAGATACTGAAGATTTGATTTTTCCTGGAATGATTTTGCTCTCATCCGCTGGCTTCATCCTTTTCATGACGGTTTTCCAGGTAATATTTGTATTTGAAGGTGCCTCTTATCCTCAATATATGACTTATGGTATGTCCAAAACAAGGTCTCTGCTATGAATTTATCATTGGAATCATTGCCATCACGGAAAATGGACCTAGCTATAGCTAACTACGACGTGATGAGCTGGAAAATAAAGAACTGGTGGGAGGATCTAGGAATTTACTCTAGTTTTAATTGCAATTTATCTGGAGCCATCATATCTGGCAGCTTTGAAACTAAAATAGCTTATCAAGATCTTCTCTTAAGACATGTCTTCTCAGAATGATCCAAATATTAGATATAGACCATATACCAAAAGTCATATATACTTGTATTCGGGGGTTCGTCACACTTTATAACCAAAGGCCAGGATAATGAGAACCTGTTGACGGTTGCACACCATTCGCGGAGGGAAGATACAGTACTGCCTAGAAATAAGTTAACAAAAACCGCGGTTAACTGCGAGTTCACCGCGGATTAACGGCGGGTAGTCGACCGCGAATCACCGCAATTCACGGCGGAACCCGAGTGGAAATAGCGCTGTATTTTAAAAATCAGAGTCAATAAGATTTTTGCGGGACGAACAACGAGACGAGGCGGCATATTCTAAATGTATTCGGAATGTTCGGAAGCAATACAATGGAAAGCTATCTTTGCATTTCCAAAGACGTATCATGTCCATCTCATTACTCAATACTCAATTGTATCGAGCTATATCATGCATTTATATGAACAATATAATTATAGAAGAAAGCAACTATTTATAATATATTGACTAAAGACTCTTACCATGGAGTTTGATTATTGTAGCCTGCATGTCCGCCTGATATTCCTGTCCTTCGTAGTCTATCATAACTGCAGCCTCTTCTATCAGTGCATTGCCACTGATAATTCTTTTTTAATTAATAAACTTCGCCCCTGGAATGCGCGTGCTTTTATCTATTTCGAAGTACACTAACATTCACGTGGCCGTGCTAACACGTGTCTTAACTCGCAAACTATTTTTAAAATAAATCTTCTTAACCTTCGTTAGTCTTTAGCTACATTTCTGGGCTTGCTCTTAGCATCAGTATAGAACGGCAACGGTGTGTTGTAAACAATGAGTATATTCAGTCGAGACCACAGAATAAAGACCAGTAACAGAAGGGCCACTCATCGGTGCAACGTGTCCTTGTTTTTTATGCACAAATATGCAGTTTACTGGCCAGAAGGCAGAGCAGCCAGCCAGTACAGCGTGTTTGTTGGCCAGAAAATGTCATTGACTGGCTAGGAAAATGGCGGCCAACATGCGTAATGCGACATGCGCGAGGACAGAAAATTCAAAGCTTCCGACGTAAGTGGCTCGTCTGTTACTGGGGCCGGTTGTATAAAAACGTAGTTAGCGCTAACTGCAGTTAAAAATAGTTAAAACGCCTTAAAAAATAGTTAACTTTAACCACGTAGTTAAGCCGGTTGTATAAAAGTGTAGTTAGCCTTAACTATGTTTTAGGGTATAGTTATAACTGTCCAAAACGTAGTTAAAAATGGCATTTAATTGTATAGGAGTGAACAACATCAAACGCTATCGCTTTGGTGTTTTTACGAAAACAGAACATATTTTTGCACAGGACAATTTCTCGAAGACGAAGTATAGTCCATTACACCAAGAAACACTGATATATAATTGCCAAACAGCTATATATACCTTGGTTTAACGTATAGACATCTCAAAAAAACTGCATTCTTTTATGATATTTGTGGCGGTTTTTCCTTGTTTTCTTGTTTAGTTTTCACCGTTTTCTTTAGCCTGCGAACAGGCTCTCAAGCTTAATTGAGAGCCTGCATCGATGACTAATGAATTTGAATATCTGCCCCGTAACGTTCGTTTTTCCAAATACGGAATGTCTATCCTTATATGGTGTTCTTTACAACTTTCGTGCAAGCTAAGTTTAGACCGTGCAAACTAAATTTAGACCGTACAGTTTATACTGTTTTTCGAAATATAAGATATTAAAGCAAAAGTTTAAATGTTTTAAATACTGTTTTCTCAAAACAGAACATTTCGTGCTTTGAGATAAGATGGCCAAAACCAATTTGATCAGTTAATGTGTTTTTTATGCATAGTGCTTCAGCAGTTGGCATATATAGAGCTCAGCGGAAACATATAAATGATAGCTATCATCTGACCAATGAGCATTTCGCGTCACGATTTGAGACGCAGATATTCAAATTCATTAGTCATCGATGCAGGCTCTCAATTCAGCTTGAGAGCCTGTTCGCAGGCTACGTTTTCTAGTGTTTTGAATAAAATTTCCGCCTCTTTGCAAAATACGAGTCCACAATGATGTTGAAAATGTGTGTCAGCGGTCGCTACTCGCTGCTTACTTTATGTAATTTTGTGTTTAAACAGTTAACTACGTGATTAGTTAACAAAAATTAATAAAAATGTTGCCAACAATGGCCAAGTCAAGTACCTGTATTCATTCTTTGGGTTTGGAGTAAAGAGTCACGCTTAAAATTAGCAGGAAACTTAATTAAAGGATAATTATAATAACCACACATGTAGTACGGCCAAGGTTCCACGGATGAATTTTCGGTAGGATTATTATACGAGATTCCTTTGCTGATGGCCTTCATAATATACATACAAAGAAGCTAGTATAAGGACAAGTAAAAACACAGTATTGTGAAAGCTAAGAATACTTTACTCGATATTAAGGAACGACAAAAGCATTCTATGAGGAAAACAAATTACTAATCTGATGTATGCATGAGTCTATCATTCAATATCAACTAGAAAATACCTGAAACCCTCGCCCAGAAACCCTCGCCTTACTGACAAAACATTATGTTTTCTGAATATGAAGAATTGAAAGTAGTTGTCATGGTAACACGATAATTTTAAGAATAGTTTTAAAATTGAAAAATCCCCCAAAATATCACTTTTATAAACAAAATTATCAATTTCCCAAACATATATTTGTTGGGTATATTATTATACGTAGTATAAGCTTCAATTTAATGCAAAATTGGAAATTAAACGAGCCTTACCTGGAAGGTGATGTTTGATGATAATTCTACCAAGTCCGTAGTTGTACTGAGGGTTAACATGAGATGCACGCTGTGTGTTGCCATGAGTCAGACTTTAAAACGGTTGTGGACGCAATTAAAGGATGTTTGTTAGAACCACGGGCGGGAAAAGTAGGGAAGGGCATGTTAACCCTCAGTACAACTACGGACTTGGTAGAATTATCATCAAAAATCACCTTCCAGGTAAGGCTCGTTTAATTTCCAATTCTACCAAACCGTAGTTACGTACTTCCGGTTAACATGAGACTTCAAAGCAATTGTGTACACAACCAACAGCACAAACATGGTATGCAAAAACATTTATTGTAACACGGCATTTTGAAACAGATTATTATCTACAATAGGTTTATTATAATGTTTTCGAAACACACAGTCTGATGACCATCCCACATGTTTTAGTATCACATCAACTGGTAGAAAGGTAGCAACTTTGCTTACACTCGCTGCCCGAGTACTGTGGGCCTTAAATATCAAAGTATCGATTCCACTTAAAGTAAGTAATTGTTTGATCCATCTGCTTAGCGTATTGGTAGTAACTGCACCATGAGGCTTTACATATGAAATAAGCAATCTAGTGGATGTGCTGCTCCGCAATGTCGCTGTGCGGTACAAATAGCACTTCAAGGTGCGATAGACACATAACTCCTCCTGGTGATATTTACCAACATGAAAAGTAGAGAATACATTTCCCGGTCTGTTCTGTTTTATATGTTCAGTAAGCTGGAAAACATAAGAATCTGGCGTCTCTTTCATCGACTGAATATCTAAGTATGTCAACGTTTGGCACCGTTGACCCGATGTTAGGGTTAACAGCATAACTAGTTTAAAGGAGTGATCCTTTAACGACAGCTTATCCAGCGGGAACAACGTTGCCAAATAATTTAGCACTACATTTACGTCCCATGTTTCAGAGTACTTGGGTGTTGGTTTCCTAGTGTTGAAAACACCTTTTATGTAACGAACCAGCAAAGGATGATTCGTCATAGTATAATTTGTACCGCTAAAAGTGGTATCCATTAAATAACCAGATAAAGCTGAACGAGCAGTATTAATAGTTGAATAAGACAAGTCTTGTGCATACAAGGTATGGAGAAAATTTAGAACATTATTCACAGTAGGTCGCATTGAATCAATTTTCCTTGGAATACAAAACTCGGTCCACTTTGTAAGGTAAACTGTATATTCTTTCTGAGTGCCGGATTTCCAGGAACACATAATAATGTCGGCAACTTCTGGAGAAACCTTGAGGTTAAGGAGGTTATGCCGGATATTTTGCATGCCATTAACACTAATTTGTGGCTCAAAGGGTGAATATTGCCCAGTAGAGGATTGGATAGAACATCCATGGTGGTTATCTTGAAAACTTTGGGGTGGTCTATCAGCAAACTTAGAAGACGAGTAAACCATACCTGTGTGGTCCACATTGGTACAACAATAATCATGGTCGCTTGCTCTTGAACGACTTTCTGAAGGCATCTAGTAATCAAGCAAAATGGCGGAAAAGCAAAACTGTTATCAAACAGTGCCCAGTTAATGGTGAATGCATCAACAAATGACGCCCCTGGGTCTGGTTTCCATGAAACGTAAATATCAAGTTGGTGGTTGATCCTGCTAGCAAAACGATCAATACCGGGTTTACTAAAATGATACGATATTTTATCAAATATGGCAGGGTTTAACTTTCATTCCAATGTCATGTTAAACTCCCGAGACAGTTTATCTGCAGTAATATTATGTTTCCCTGGGGTGTACGAGGCCGACATCCAATTGTTCCGAGCAATAGCCCATGACCATCTAGCAATATTATCACAATCTTTAGACTGACATCCCCCCATCGAAGTTATATAGGATATTGCCGTCGTATTATCGGACATATTCCGGATGTGCTGATCATGAACCTTATCAACAAGAGCTTTTAACCCAAACTGTATAGCCAATAGTTCCAAAATATTGATATGAAATGTTGTTTCATGGGCGTCCCATAGTCCTTGTGTGTTGTGTCCATCAACTGTGGCTCCCCAACCCACCTGGGAAGCATCTGTTGTCATAGTGATATGTGGGGTACCATGATCGATTGTCCTATATGCGGTTGGAAGGAAAGAGACCCACCATTTCAAATCATCAATACTAGGTGAGGACAAACTCATTTCAGAATCGAAATTACCATTAGATCTTTTCAATGCAAGATCTTTATCATGCTCTAATGTGCGATAATGTAGGGGCCCCAACTCAACACCTGGAAACGTGGAAACTAAAGTTCCAATTAATGATGCAAGTTCTCGAATAATAATTGACTGTTTTAGTAAATGTTCACATGCAGCTGCTATTTTTGTTACTTTCTTGCTGGTTAGTGTAACTGTCATGATATGAGAATTGAGCAAAAATCCTAAAAATTCCAAAATTTGTGTGGATTCAAAAATCGACTTAGTCGGATGGACAACAAAACCCAACCGAGTGATCAATTGGGTTGCATTTAATGTGGCCTCTTCAGATAACTTTACCGTATCGTCAATGTAGATTGAATCGTCAATATAGCCCAAACAACAGTGGCCATATCGGCTGTGTAAAGTAGCAAACACAGGTTTCATAATTTTAGTAAAAAGACGTGGGCTACTTGTAAGTCCCATCGGCAAAGATGTGAATTGATATAATACACCTCGCCACATAAATTTAAGATATTTTCTATGTTCTGGTGGGATAGGAACGCTATAGTAGGCATCACGAAGGTCTATGGAAGTCATGAAACAGCCTGGTTTCATTAATTTAATTG